ATGATTCTTACATCCTGAACATGGTCAATTATTCAGTGTTTGGCTTTCCAACATCTCAAATGTCATGATTTTTAATAGTTTGAGTTGTGATTGAGGTAACATCTATACAGTGCACTTAGTTGGAGTGTCTTTTTAGTCTCTTAATGTCTGACACTCCCCTTTCTTCACAGTTCATCAGGTTTTTCTCCCCAGGGGTCTTTCAGTGAAGGCTGTGTTTTGCCAATTGTATTGCAGTGATAGGTGAGTTTTTTTTTTTTTTTTTTAACTTTTTCATTTTTTAAAATTTTTTATTTGTTCTTTTTAATTATACATAATTGTAGAGTGTATTTTAACATTATACATACATGGAGTATAACTTCCTGTTCTTGTGGTAGTATTTGATGTGAAGTTACATTGGTGGTGTGTTCATGTATGAACATAGAAAAGTCCAGTTCATTCTCCTGTCTTTCCTATTCCCATCCCCCACCTTCCCTTCATTCCCCTTGTCTAATCCAAAGAACTTCTGTTCTTCTCTCTCCCTCCCTCCCTGCCTTACTGTGCATTAGATCTGCATGCCAGAGAGAACATTCTGCCTTTGGTTTTTTGGGATTGTATTATTTCACTTAGCATGATAATCTCCAGTTGTATCCATTTATCAGCAAATGCCATATTTCATCCTTCTTTATGGCTGAGTAACATTCCATCATACACACACACACACACACACACACACACATATATATATATATATATATATATAAATCACATTTTCTTTATCCATTTATCTGATGAAGGGCACGTGGGTTTGTTCCATAGCCTAGCTGTTGTGAATTGAGCTGCTGTAAACATTGATGTGGCCACATCACTATAGTATGTTGATTTTAAGTTCTTTGGGTATAGACCGAGGAGTGGGATAGCTGGGTCAAACGGTGATTCCATTCCAAGTTTTCTGAGGAATCTCCATATCCATTGGTAGTTTTTAAAGCATGCTGTTCTATTTCTGCCACCTACATCAGTATTCGAATCGGTTCAGGTTTGATACTCTGTTGTTGTTTGTTTGGGGTTTACTGTTTCCAAGGTGATGTGTGTTTTCCCATCAGGAAATAAGTGATGTCTTGTCTTTGTGTGCATGCAACCAGCTATTGATATGAATTTCACAGGTCATGAAATATTATACTTCTGGTGTTTTCTTAAACAGCTATTCAAAAATGTAAATTATTAGCTCCTCTTAGCTTGTAGGCCTTTAGAAAACAAACCATGGACATGGTTTAATTCATAGGCCATGGTCTCCCAATCCATCTAAGGTATCTCTCTGCTGTGATTGGATGTAGTTTGTCCTCCAGCAGTTCTTGTGTTGAAGGCTTGGTCTGCAGTGTGGTGGTGTGAGGTGATGGACCTTCAAGAGGTGGGGTCTGGCTGGGTGCAGTGGCACTTGCCTGTAATCCCAGCACCTTGGGAGGCTGAGGCAGGAGGATCATGAGTTTAAAGCCAGCCTCAGCAAAAGTAAGGCGCTAGGCAACTCAGTGAGACCCTGTCTCTCTATAAAATACAAAATAGGGTTGGGGATGAGGCTCAGTGATTGAGTATCACTGAGTTCAATTCCTGGGACCCCCCTCCCCCAAAAAAGAGGTGGGGTCTGGTGGGAGGTCATTAGGTCATTGGGTGCACTACCCTCAGAAGGGATTGATGCTGGGATTGTAGAGTGAGTTCGTTGCTCTCTTAAGAGTGCTTACAAGAGCCAGATCCCTGAATCTGACTTCCATCTCACCATGATGTCTCCCATATGTGCTCCCACCATCATGCCATCTGGCATGAGGCCTTCACCAGAGGCCATCTGATTTTGAACTTTCAGTCTCCAAAACTCAGCTCAGTTAACCCCATTTTCTTTATACATTATCCAGCCTCAGATATTTTGTTATAGCAATGGAAGACAGACTCATACACTATAAGAGGGAAACTTCTTAAACCACACTGATACCAACAGTCAGTGTTACAAAACAATGTCAAATTGTTTTCTACAATTCTTGTGATGCCAGCAGTGAATAAGCATCTTTGTTGCCCAAGGCTGGGGTCTTAAATAAGCAAATCATTCTCAAAGAAACCAAGACCCCCCCCCCCCAATGATTGACAATGATTTTCTGTCTGTAGCAGAAAATATAAAAGGGGAGCCTGGAACATATCAGGAAACAATGCAGCCCAAGTCTCCTGGGATCTTGGCAGAGGGCTTGGGAGCAGAACTTTGCAGAGGTCTTGCTGGCCAAAGATGGACTGGCATGAGCATCAGTAAGAATATCAAGAGGATTGAAGCCCATCAGGTAGTTTAAATCCATCAGCTTATAATGATTTCCTGAAACAATATCAGTAACATTCCTAACTGGTAACTGCCACAGAATGCTAGTGAACCAACTCATATTTTAAAACAATTGGTAAAGAGAGAGAAAGATTTAAGTGTCTAGCCTTTCTTTCCCCTTGACTTGAACCTCTGGGTAACCAAACAAATATGAGGAAACTTGTGTATAAAAGCACATGAGGGAGACGAGACACTGGAGGAGGAGTGACAAAATGAGATGCCAGCATGCTGTAATCCCCGATGGAGCTGGACATTGGTCATCATTTCTTTTCACCTGTGGATCTTGAATGTTTTTTTTTTTTTTAATCCAGAAGTGAACTCATGGGCAAGTCTTTAGTTAATTACATGTGTGTTCAAGTTCCATGAGGTTCTAGGCATCAGATAATTGGGCTGAATTTGTGATGGTAAATTAATTGTTGGGTAGTGCTCCTGCCATGCCTTGAGTCAGTGCTGAGAAACCACCTCTCCAAATTACCTGTCTCTAAAGCAGATAATAGGTACCTACCTGCCTCTTAGAGTTCCTCCAGTTTTCTACTCATTTAAGTCGAGTGCTAGATAGCTATTAGAATGCTTTGGAAACCGTAAAATGAAAACTCATGGGATGTGCTATGGAGGTGCCAAATGCACCAAGTACCCCAAACCTTTAATTATCCTCCTCCTTGGTGTATACTCAGGTAAGCTGTCTAAATGTATGGTGACACTCCTGTCACTGTTGATGTTTTTTGGAGCAGATGATTGATTGGCTTATGTGTCTCTGGATGTCGTAAACTGGCAGTATAGAGGGGAAGCACCCTTCCTCATAGTTTTCTGACAGTTGCAACCAGAAGCCTTTTCAGGTTGGGTTTTTGGTTTGGCCATTGGGACCTGGGGGTTTCAGTTGTGGTTGCCCACGTCTAGGACTTACTTCCTCTCTGTGGTTTGTGCAAACCCATCTCACCTTCCCACCTGTGATTTGATTTCCTCATTTTATGAGAGTTTTTCTCCCATTGGAATACAGAGTTTATTTAAAGCACAGAGCTTTGGACTTTTCAAAGAAAAACACCAATAAATAGATAGTTTTTGAAAGTGGTAACTTAAAAATGTCTGCTTGAGGCCAAATTGTTTCTCAAACAGAAATCTCTAGAGTCCTTTTAATGAGACCGTTAGGCCCTGAGATTGAGTATGGCGTCCACATTGAGGAAATCTGAGGAAGGGAGGGCAGCCACCCACCGCCAGCTCCTAGAGGAACAGGCATGGGGGAAAGGTCGGGCAAAAGCTGGCCAGAAAGTGAAGTGCTGTTGGATTCAAAAGAACTGGATGGGGCACTACCTAAGGAGCCAGCAGTCAACTTGAAAGAACCTCCAGTGGCCAATGCTGGAGCAGCTTGAGCCACAAAATAAATAATGGTAATATTGGATTGTTAACCCCAAGGACAAACATCCAGGAGTAAAAAGCTGTATAAGTGATGGGATAAAATAAATACATGGAGGAGAAAGTACAAGTGTTCCTTACAGAAGGGTTTTAAATAACAAATGTAGAAGGAATGAAGGACCTAGAAAATCTGCATTAAAACATCTTGGTATCAATCACTGCAGGCAAGATGTGCAGGTGAATGAGAAAGTGGGTATGCAAAACCTTAAGGAGAAGCAGAGTATTTACATAACAAAGTATCTCCCCTCAAGTACCTATTTATTAGTAGCTGTAGTATTTTTAAACATTTTTTTAGTTGTAGATGGACACAATACCTTTATTTAATTTATTTATTTTATATGGTGCTGAGGATCCAACCCAGTGCCTCATATGTGCTAGGTGAGCGCTCTACCACTGAGCTATAATCCCAGCCCTGCTGTAGTTTTTTTGACATGTCTGCAAACTCTTCAGGAGTCCTCCCTCCACAAAGTCTAGCTTACTTTCCTTCTCTGTGGGTATGCACTTGACTTTGGGACCTGCTTGTAAGGCAGAGAGTCTGCCAAGAGAAGACTGTATGTTGGAGAGACTACCTGGCCACATGGTCAAATTTCAGCACACTAGGAACAAGTTATGTGCCCCCGATGTGATGCAAGAACAAAGTCATCTCACCCCTGTGGTGTTCTAGGTTCTTCCCAAATACTGTAAACTTTCTCTAATCCTGGGAAAACATCAGACCACCCAAGTTGAGGAATATTCTGCAGAATAACTGACCAGTGCTGTTCAGAAGTATCAAAGTTATGGGACACATGGAAAGACTGAGAAAATCAGAGATAGGAGGAGACTAGGGGGCATGTAGGTTAAACGCAGTGTTAGTATTCTTTATTGAACCCTGGAATTAAAAAAAAGACTTTAGTGGAGAAAATTGTAAAATCCAAATAAAGTTTGAAGCTCCATTAATAGTGTTATGCCAATGTTTTTTTTTCCTAGTTTTGATGAATATACTACAGAAATGTAAGATTTGAGCATTAGTGGAAACTGGGCAAAGGGTATGTGGGAACTCTGAATTCTCTCTACAATTCTTCTCTAAATCTAAGATTATTGTAAAATAAAGTTTAAGAAAAAAAATTCTATTCTGGATTGACCATCAGCTTTATCATAAGCAATTAAGCATATCTTATTAACCCTTGGTCCCTTTTATATCTAGAAGAAAGTATCAGTAGTTAAGATTGATTTTGGAATGTATATGTTTTTAATGTTATTTTTTTTTTCTCTCTCTCTCTAGGGGAGGCACCTACTACAGAAGTTCCTGTATCGTTTGTAATCCTGTCTGTGTGCAGCTTAATGATATTAATAGTGTTAATAGCAAACTGTGTTTCCTGCTGTAAGGACCCAGAAATAGACTTTAAGGTGAGCACAGATGCAGAAACCTATAGTCATCTTCGGATATGTTTACAGTAGAGTGGCTATGCACCAGTGTTCTGGGAGCAGGTCTCAGCAGACTTTTTTTGTAAGGGCCAGGTATTAAATCTTGTGGGCCATAAAGTCTCTGTTAACAGCGCCCTAAACCTCAGCCCTACAGTCGTAGTGCTACATTAACCAAAGAACTATGTTAACAAATGGTCTTGGCTTTGTGCCAGTAAAACTAGATTTACAAAAACTGGCAGTTTGGATATGGCCCTTGGCCTTAGTTTGGCAACCCTGCCTTGGAGCATCTTTGATAATAAGCACAGGGTGTGGTGAGTTTAAGTTTTTGCTAGGTGGGAATAAAGCATCAGGATTGAACTTACTTGCTATAAGGTCTATGTGTAAGAACAAACTGGTTTGGGTTTTGGGTTTTTCCTAAACTTTTGTAGGCTGGTGAATTTGTGGTCATTAGATCACAAAGGGATCCCCCCAGCGTTTTGTGTATGAGGAAGAGTATTGAAGCCTCAGGTTTGCCTTGAAACCTTGAGTTCCCCAAAGAGGGGGAGAATGCTGCTCACTATAAAATCCTGGCCCAGAGAGGAATGACAGAGAGGGGCTGATGTAGCAGCAGATGGATGGGATCTACCAGAAAACAATCTGGGAACTCCTGCTTTAGAGCTTGCTGCATGCCTGCTAGTGTGTATTAGTGTTCCAAAAATATTAGTTAAGAAGGAGTACATGGGGAACGTAAATAGGGAGTGCATGCACCCAGAGAAAACGCACCTCAATGTGTTGCCCTCTGACTGCACTGTCCTGAAGGCCACTGGTTCAAATTGGAAAACAAAAGTTTTCTTCTCACCCAAACCTTTTCAATGGGCATGGGACCTGATTTCTATAGCCTCCTAATTGTTTTATTGTGTGGTCTCTATTCTGGAGTCTGCCCGCAGCTCTAAAGACTTAGGAAGTGTGCTGTCTCTGGACCCAACACTGCATTACGCACAGAAGGCCAAGAGCAAGGGAAGGCTGCAGGAGACTCACCCAGCATGGGCCACTGTCTGTGGAAAAGTTGGCCTGCCTGGGCCTGTGAGGCTTTATTCACAGCACCAGCCCCTGGGCTATCACATCACTGTCAACATTTCTGTGGGGACTTAATGACATCCCAGTAGGGGGCTCACATTTGTGGATAGAGAATCTGTGTCCCCTCATGGTCAATTTTGCTGAGGGACTTTGCACAGAAACCTGGCCATTTCAGGACAAAGATAAAGTCTGATCAGTGTTGCCGATAGTGAAGTCAGGTCTCACATTTCGTGATATCTCATTCTTGCCTCAGCAATTCTTGCCTGTTTTGAATGTCAGTATTGAATGAAGGAGTTTATTGTGATGCTACCTCAAGGCTGGGATTCTTTATTGCTATCCAGCAAGCTGGGGTGATTCTGATGCAGGGGTCACAGTGCTCTGGGGCCTGTGTGACTAAATAAGAATATTGCTGGGCTGGGGCTGGGGCTCAGCAGCAGAGCGCTTGCCTAGCATGCATTAGGCACCGGGTTTGATCCTTAGCATCAAATACAAAAGTAAACAAATAAAATAAAGGCATGCTATCCAAAAAAAAGAATATTGCCATCTCTTTCCTTTGGATATAGGGCTCTGCAATTTTAGAACTCAGTGGTCCCAGAGAAGTCCCTTTACACACCAGGAAGCTACAGTCTGGAAAAGTGATTTGCCTAAGTTCATCCAGACAGCCACTGGCATAACTGTAAGAGATACCCATTACCCAGGCTTATGTCATTTTTTTCAATTACTGTTATACTGTATCACCTCTCTGAATTTTAGAATCATCTACTGGTATATTTACTGGTTATGTCATGTTGCTGCCACATTTTGAGTGGCATTATTTTTAAGATAAAGCGTGATGGACAAAGTCCTTTTAATGAAAAACCCTTTAGGAATGTCCAAAAGAAAAACTGAACAATCTCTTTATTCAGATATGTCCTCACATATTGAACTTTTTTTTTTTTAAATATTTATTTTTTAGTTGTAGTTGGACACAATACCTTTATTTCACTTATGTATTTTTATGTGGTGCTGAGGATCGAACCCAGTGTCTCGCACGTGTGAGGTGAGCGCTCTACCACTGAGCCACAACCCCAGCCCTCACATATTGAACTTGAGTATCACATTTTTCCTGCTCCCTCCTCCCATATAAATAACCATAATGTCCTTTAATGCATTCAAGCACATAGATGACATATATGAGAATAAAGTCTTCTCACATGTATGTGAAAACGGAAATCTAACATTATAATTTTTTTGTTTCTTTCTTGTATTGGGGGGCTAAAGGAAGGTGGTAGAAGAAGAAAAGGATGTTGGCAGAAAAATGGGTCTTGTCCACTGATCTCTTCTCAGCTTCAGTGTGGTGCCTGAGGAAGGGGGTACTTTGTAATTATCTGAATCAGTGAACCACTTGACAGTCTTCTCTGTCTGTGTTAAATTAACCTGGATCCCAAGGTGTGCTCAGTTCACAGGAATGAGGATAGGAGGATGGGGAGAATTTCTGCCCAATAGAGCCATTTAAAAGGTTCCCACAGCCTGATTGGGACCTCCTCAATTTTCAAGTCATTGTCTTTGGAGTACTGGGTTCTCTTGTAAGCTAGGCGCACTTAGGTGCTGCACAGTGTCATACTGGTCTTTGTGATTCGTGTGCTCTGGTTTTTCTGCCCAGTGTAGCAGTTTTTTCCATCATTACTTTCTTGGAGAAATAGGACTTACTTAAAAATATCTTTTCTGGTTGTTTAACTGTCTTTATTTTAATAGAAATCACAGTGTAATTAAAAACGCATACAATATTAAAAATAAAAATTTGTTTTGATTCAGTATGCAAATATATTTGTGAAAGTGAATGATAACTTTAGAAGAATTGTCTAAACTCTAATAATTTATAAGCAAACTTTTGATCTTGGGAGAGTATTTCCATGTTAAGTTCCATGGCCATTTTAGAAAATTTTGCATTTAACTTCAAACTATCAATTTTAAAAGTTACATAAAATATGTGTGATTTATTTTCAAATTTTATTTTGCTTTTTGGAGTTGGAGAGCATAATTGCATATGCTTTTCACTTGAGGTAAGTAAGAACTGGGGGAATTTTGACAGCATATTACAAGTAAATTGAAGCAAGAGTCATATCTTAAATGTTAGCCAATGGTTTTTAATACTGGTTCTTTCTGATTTTAGGAATTTGAAGATAATTTTGATGATGAGATAGATTTCACACCACCAGCAGAAGACACCCCTTCTGTCCAGTCCCCAGCAGAGGTCTTCACACTTTCAGTACCAAATATTTCACTTCCAGCTCCATCACAGTTCCAGCTTTCTGTGGGTAAGACCTTACCTAATGTTAGATTTCCACGCATTGTTTCTGAGCAGTGACAATAGGAGCCTTGCTGCTATCGTGCAATATTGGGCAGCCCACTTCCTCCTTTGCCTGTGTGTTTCTCTTCCTTCTGCTCCCCACTGTTCCAGTGCTCGGGCTTATTTTATTCCAGCAAAAGCTGTTGCTTCCAGGCTAAGGCAAGAAGATCGTGAGTTCAAAGCCAGCCTCAGTAGCTTAGCAAGGCCCTAAGCAACCCAGTGAGATCCTATCTCTAAATAAAATATATATGGGCTGGGGGAGCTGGGGATGTGTCTTAATGGTTAAGCACCCCTGGGTTCAATCTGTAGCACCCACACACACACACACACACACACACAAAAAAAAAAAAAAACTACAAAACTTGTTTCCTTTATGGACCCTGGGTCTGATAAAAGAATAAAACTTGTCTCCCAGATGCACTGAAATTACATAGTGGGATTGAGCTCCTCAGCTGTCTTTCAGTAGGCTGGTTTCTCTATAGACTCTGGACATTCCTGTCTTCTACTAGAACATTCTGCTCTAGGGAGGAGAGCATATACAGTTCTGTTAATCAGATGGCTTTTTATTCACTTTTTAAGATAGAGTTTGATTAGATGTTAGTTGATCTCTTGAATGCATTAAAGGACACTATTGCTATTTGTATAGCAGGTAGAGGGTTTAAGAAGTCAGGTTTTCCAAGACTGCTAAAAGAAGGCTGTTTAAGGTTTCATAGGTGCCAAACTTGCCATTTGTGGTACCACATGCACTGTGGGTTGTATTTTAGGGCAGTACAAACCCAAGTTGATTACACTTCGTCAGCATGCATGACTCAAAGAAAAAGTAAGGTTAAAATATACCAGTATAGTTCATATAAGGTATTTGTAAAGTAAGGTATATTTAATATTTGTGTGTTGCAATATTAAAAAATGACACATAGTACTTAGCTTTAACTTCTGTAAATAATACTCTTACCACAACAAAAAATAGTTTAGTTTGAAAGGAGTCCAACATATTCTTGATAACTTAAGTATACTCATTGTTAAACTGGAATGCTTTATTGTAGTTTATTTGATAATTTTCTTTTCTTCATGTGTAAAGAAAGCCCTGAGAGACTGGGGCTTTTATAGGACTATAATTTAACCCTCAATTAATTTCAGTTGAATCCTAACTCAGATCAGCATCAGTAGAAAAGAAACCCAGACCGTAGAAGGCGTAGGGGTGAAGCTGATCTTGAAGATAGCTGGAACCAGGACCTTGAGCTCCATGGGCATTTTACAGTCAACTGCTCATTTTCTCTTCCCTTTCTCATTTTCTTAAAATGTCAGTTCAGTCTCTCAGATGGCATCTCTCTTCAGTAGGGAGCATGACTGCTGGCCGCTCCATGTTCATATCTTTGTAGTTTTGCAGTGAGGGAGGAAAGGACCTTCTCTCTCCTTGGACCAGAAAGAAAAACCTCCCAGAGGCGTTCTGGCTTTGGTTTACCTTCACCACACCACAGACTGACGTGGCGTGAGCTGGGCCACCGTCCTCCTGTCGGATATATATGCCCCTTTCTGTTCTGCTGAATTCCTCCACTCTAAAATCCCCCTTAATAGGAAGAAATCATTGTAAGTTTCTCTATTTAGAATACTTTCAGAGTATTTTTATCATTTTGGGATATAAGAGGCTTTCCAAGTATAGCAGTAAATCTGGAAGCCATAAAAAAAATAGCCAGATCTGATTCATAAAATTAAATATTCTGTGTGGGAAAAAAAGAGTGTAACCTATTTAACATAGTAGCAAAAATATTTGTAAACTACAAAAAGGATGAAAAATTGTAACATATTAATAGCTCAGAGGCCTGTGTGTGGTGGCACAGGCCTGTAACCCCAGTGACTCAGGAGGCTGAGGCAGGAAGATCAAAAGTTCAAGGCCAGCCTCAGCAACACAGCAAGGCTCTGTCTCAAAATAAAAGTAAAATAAGATGAGTAATGTTGCTCAGTGGAAGAGCGCCCCTGGGTTCAATCATCAGTATTACAAAAAAAAAGTTCTCACGAGTATAAGAAAAAGAGTAATGTGAAAAAATTAAGATAAGGACATGAAAGAAGAAACTCAAGGGAAGAAATTCAAATGGCCAAAAGACAAAAGAGCTTTACTAGTAACTGAAGAAACGCAAACTTCAAGTAAGATGAGGAAAAGAAGTGGCAATAGGTCACGATTGGGAGTGTGTGTGTGTGTGTAAACGGGAAGTCTCTTCCACTTGCTGTTAGTGGAGCTGTAAAGTGGGGAGAAACCCTCCCCAGAGGGGCATCTGGCAGTTGGCATCAGTCCCCAGCACCACACACACAGATGTAAAATGTGTTTGCTCTTGATCCAGCACTTGAACTTTTAATGATTTGTCTTTAGGAACGAATTAAGTATACAAAGGTGTGCAAAGGGATTTATTGCAGCATTGTTTGGCAATACAAAATGGAAAATGTTTAAATAGCAATCTGTAACTTGCTAAATTACAGTATAGGCAAATAGTGAAGTATTTCATATCCCTGTAAAAGGCTGAAGATAAGCTGTATTTAACTATGAAAGATACTTATGATTATATGTTAAAAAAAAAAAGCTGTGCCACATATTCACAAGCAAGTTCTATCCGTTGTTTCCTTTTTCTCTTTCTAAAATTTGTATTTTGAACAGACAATATGTTCACAATTCAAAAATCAAATCAAAGCATAGAAAGGTATGAGTGATGAAAAGTCACCCTCTCATATTTCAGTAAAACCTCATTTCCCACCCCTGACTTCCCCAGGTAACAACTGCTCCTCTTGGTTTCTTAGGTATCTTTCTAGGGTTTCCAGATGAAAACCCCTCCCTTCCATTTTAAAATTTGTTTTAATTTTTTAGAAGATTTTATTTTTGTACAGCAGTTTTAGGTTCACAGCAAAATGGAGAAGAAGGCCCAGAGATTTCCATACACTCTCCATCCCTCACATGTGTAGGAAGTTCCCTCTTTTACTCAAAGTTGCCATGGTAGATATATTGCTTGGTATTGTGCTTTTTTCCATTTACCAGTTGTTCTTAAGAGATACTTCCATATCAATAAAGATAACATATTTATTCTTGCCTATATATTATACTATTTGAATTATATAATCTTAGCACAGTCTCCTATTGATATTTGGATTATTTCTAATCTTTTCCTATTAAAAACAAAGCTGGTACCTAGGTTGTTGTGCATGTGTAGAATACGTTTTTAAAACTGGGTCAAATAATGTATGTGTTCCATTTTGATGGCTCTTGCCAACTTACCCTCCACAGGAGTTGTACCAGTTTCTGTTCCTGCCAGCTGGGTGTCAGTGGTTTATGCTATATCTTTTGAAGCTAAGTTGATATCCCTTCAAACTAGATTGTTACGAATTTAGGATAACTGTAATCCCCATGGTAACCACAAAAAAGTTCACAGGAAAGGAAACCCAAAAGGTTACTCTAAGAAAGAAAAATCAATCACATACATACACAAAAAAATTATATATTGATGAACTGATGTTAAGTTGGCTTAGCAATCTTTTTTAGAAGCCAAAATTTAATAGTCTTGGACTCAGTGTCTTAAAAAAGAGATAATGTTTTAAGGTTTTAGTTTGACATTAAGCCTATAACCTGTCTTAAGTTGATTTTTGAGTATGGGGAAGCAAGTTTTCCTTGTGGATTACTGTTTTTTTTCCTCCCAACTTCATTCACTTGCTGGTCCTGACTTTCCTCTCTGCTTACATGTGTGGCTCTATTTTAGCCTTCTGCTCTCTTTTTACTTAATCAGTCTGTTCCTTTGTCTCAGTACCAGTGTCTTAACTATGATAGCTTCATAATAACATACGATCTGCACATATTTTCTCAATGCCTATAGGTTCTCTTTTCTCTCTCTCTAGGTAATGTCCTTTCATGAATAAAAGTTTTTAATTTTGATGAAATACAAATTATCCACTTTTTTTCTTTTGATGCTGTGCTTTTGGTGTCATATTTAAGAAATCATTGTCAAATCCAAGCTCATGACGATTTTCCTCTTTATCTTCAATAGTTTTAGCTCCTAAATCTTTAATCCATTTTGACTTAATTTTTATATATGGTGTAGGGTAAGGGTCTAGCTTAATTCTTGTACACGTGAATATCCAGTTGTCCCAATAACAGTGTTTGAAGACACTGTCCTTTCTCCATTGAATTTTCTTGGCACACTTTTGGAAAATCAATTTATCTTATTTGTTTGGATTTATTCTAGGCTCTTAATTATATTCCATTAATTGATATGCCTGCCCTTATGCCATTATAACATGGCTTTGATTACTGTAGCTTCTATTTTGTAGTAAATTTTGAAATGGAGAAGTTTGAGTCCTCCAATTTTGTTTTCGTCTTTCAAGATTTTTTCTGTTATTTTGGATTCCATATGAATTTTAGAATTATCTTTTCCATTTCTACAGAATAGGCCATTGAAATTTAATAAGAATTATTATTTTGGTATACCACATTGATTCCTTTCTCATTCCCTTTTGACTATATTTATTAGATATTTTCTTAGTGAATATGATTAAGATCACGGTTCACATTCAAAATTTGTAACGATGGAGTTTAAATTGATAATCAGCTTCAATAGCATACAGAACCCCTGTTTTCGTACAGCACTTTCCTTCCCTTTACATTGTCACAAATTATAGTGTTATACATTTTGTGCCTACTTCTATTTTTTAAAGCATTTGTATTTTAAATCATGTAGGAAATAAAAAGAATAGCATATCAATAGTACGATAACATTAGCTTGTGTATTTACCTACTTAGGTTTACTGAAGATCTTTATTTCTTTTTAAAGGAGCCTTTTAAACATTTGTTCTAGGTCAGGTATATGGGCAGCAAACTCCTAAACATTTATCTGAGAATATCTTTCTTTTTCTTTCTGAACTGGGGATTGAACGCAGGATCACTCTACCTCAGAGCTCCATTCCCAGACCCAGCCCATGACCTTTTTTGGAGACAAGATCTTTCTAAGTTGCTGAGGCTGGCCTTACACTTGTGATCCTCCTGTCTTGGCCTCATAAGATATGTATTACAGGCACGGGCCACTGCTACTGGCTCCTCCTCTTCTTCTTTTTTTTTTTTTTTAATATTATTTATTTTTAGTTGTAGTTGGGCACAATACCTTTGTTTTTATGTAGTGCTGAGGATAGAACCCAGGGTCTCTCACGTGCTAGGTGAGCGCTCTACCGCTGAGCCACAAACCCAGCCCTCCTCTTCATTTTTGAAAGATAGTTTTGCCAAACATGCAATTCTTGGTTTGCAGATCTTTTCTTTCAGCTCTTTATCTGTGAGCCACTGCCACTGCCCTCTGGCTTCCATAGTTTCTGATGAGTAACTGTTCATCTCATTGAAGATTCTGTGCTCATGGTAAATGGTTTCTCTCTTGCCACTTACAGAGTTCTCCATCTCTGGATAGAGTTTGATTTAATATGTCTTGGTGTGGATTTCTTTGAGTTTAATGTTACTTAGAGTTGATAGAGCTTCATGGATATGTATATTCATATCCTTTAGTAGATTTGGGGCATTTTCTACCATTGTCTTCAATTATTTTTTCTCCTTTTCTCATTCTTCTGGACTTTCATTAAGTCTTATAATTGGTCCTTTTGACAGTGTTTCCACACTAGAGTTATTGGGTCATAAAACAGAACTAGGTATTTTAGAATCAGACAGAATACTAATTCAAAAATAGTGTCCGTGTTAAGACTTAAAACTGTTTTGGTTTTATTAGTTTGTTTTTACTTATTTATTTATTTTTGGTACCAGGGATTGAACTTAGGGATGCTTAATCACTGAGCCTCATCCTCAGCCCTTTTTTATATTTTTATTTTGAGACAGGGTCTTGCTAAGTTGATTAGGGACTTGTTAAATTGCTGAGGCTGGCTTTGAACTTGCGATCCTCCTGCCTCAGCCTCCCAAGTCACTGGGATTACAGGCATGTGCCACTGTGCCCAGCATTATTAGTTTTAAAGAGGTGTTTTATATATTTATTTCTACCTTTTTAAATAATTTTTAAATTTGTTTTAATTAATTATACATGATAGTAAATGCACTTATGCTCTTTGATAAATGAGGTATAATTTCTCATTTTTCTGATTGTACATGTTGTAGAATCACATCGGTCATGCGGTCATATATGTATATAAGGTAATAATATCTGTTTCATTCTACTATCCTTCCTATCCTCAGTAGCACAAGCATTAAATCTGTGTTAAAATTTGTACTTTATAGGTTATGTATTTAATACTTATTTTTAGTTAGATATTCATATTTTGAATGTTCTTTTCTCTACAGAAGGTTTGAAGTCTCAAGTTGCCCGCCACAGCCTAAACTACATACAGGAAATTGGAAATGGCTGGTTTGGAAAGGTACATTGTTTTTTCACTTTGATTTTTTTTTCTCCTCCTGATTATACAGTTTAGAATTTAAAGTTAATTATGAATTATATCGTGACATTCCACATTCTCCATAGACACTGTAGTGTGAATAGAGGTTGCTTAGGGAAATTGCATAGGAACGCAACCTGCAGCATTCCTGGGTATGTAACTCTTTCCAGAAGATTGTCCAACATTCAGGCTGCTATAAAAAATCCATAAACTGGGAAACTTAAAAACAAGAGAGTGCTCTCTTGGTAGCTGCCATTCTGACTGGGGTGAGATGAAATCTTAGAGTATCTGTTTTCATTTGTATTTCTCTAATTACTAAAGATGTTGAACACTTTTTCATTTATTTGTTGATCAGTTTATTTATTCTGAGAAGTATCTGTTCAGCCCTTAGCCCATTTATTGATTGGGTTGTTTGGGTTTTTTTGGTATTAAGTCTTTTGAGTTCTTTATATATCCTGGAGATTAGTGTTCTCTCTGATGTGCATGTGCTAAAAATTTGCTCCCATACTGTAGGCTCTCTCTTCACCTCAATGATTGTTTCCTTTGCTAAGAAGAAGCTCTTCAGTTTAAATCTCTCCCATTTATTGATTGGCTCTCTCTTCACCTCAATGATTGTTTCCTTTGTTAAGAAGAAGCTCTTTAGTTTAAATCTCTCCCATTTATTGATTCTTGATTTCATTTCTTGTGCTTTAAGAGTCTTATTAAGGAAGTTGGAGCCTAATCCAATATGATGAAGATTTGGGCCTACTTTTTCTTCTGTTAGGCGCAGGGTATCTGGTCGAATTCCTAGGTCCTTGATCCACTTTGAGTTGAGTTTTGTGCATGGTGAGAGATAAAGGTTTGGGCTGGGGATGTGGCTCAAGTGGTAGCGCGCTCGCCTGGCATGCGTGCGGCCCGGGTTCGATCCTCAGCACCACATACAAACAAAGATGTTGTGTCTGCCGAAAACTAAAAAATAAATAAATAAATAAATATTAAAAAAGAGAGATATAAAGGTTTAATTTCATTTTGCCACATATGGATTTCCAGTTTTCCCTGCACCATTTGTTGAAGAGGCTATCTTTTATATATCTCCACTATATGTTTTTGGAACCTTTATCTAGTATGAGGTAACTATATTCATGTGGGTCAGTCTGTGTCTTCTGTACCATTGGTCTACATGTCTATTTTGGTGCCAATACTATGCTGTGTTTGTTACTATTGCTCTATAGTGTAGTTGAAGGTCTGGTGTTATGATGTTTCCTGCTTCATTTCTTTTCTTTTTCTTTCTTTTTTTTTTTTTTTTGCTAAGGATTGCTTTGGCTGTTCTTGGTCTCTTATTTTTCCAAATTAATTTCAAAAATTGCTTTTTCTAGTTCTATGAAGAATGTCATTGGGGTTTTAATAGGAATTGCATTAAATCTGTTCAACAGTTTTGGTAGTATGGCCGTTTTGACAACTCTGCCTATCCAAGAGCAGGGAGATGTTCCATTATCTAAGTTCTTCAATTTCCTTCTTTAGTGTTCTGTAGTTTTCATTGTAGACGTCTTTCACCTCTTTTGTTAGATTGATTCCCAAGCATTTTATATTTTTTGAGGCTATTTTGAATGGAGTAGTTGAAATTGATATTGTATGATATGCTGCTTATACATTCATTAACTATTTTTTTGAAATATTTTTTAGATGTAGATGGACACAATACCTTTATTTTTATGTGCTGCTGAGGATCGAACCCAGTGCCTCACACGTGCAAGGTTGTGCCTCCATTGAGCCACAACCCCATCCCCGCATTAACTATTTAAAACAAAGAATATGACTTATTTAATTATCAGAATTTCCCATTCTCATCACTTTTCTGCCCTTATATTCCTGATAAACACATTGAGCTCTGTTCAATATATTACTGTTTCCAGGACATTAAAATTAATATATTTTATAAAGATTAAAAACTCTTTTAAAGGAAGTCATTTAGTTTTGGTCATTTTTTAGAAATAATAAAAACCTTTACTCCTTGAGTTTAAAATGGCAAAATATGGATTTTTGAATGCCTCTGCACTGACTTGTGTTATGTTTAATATTTCTCTTATAGCTAGTTCTTATATAAAGTAGCTCATTCTTACCTTGTATTCTGATAATTTCAGTGGAGTGTTTTTTATGTGTGTTTCGATTGAAGCTTTGGTACAAGAGAAGGGCCTGGTATTATTAGAATACCGTGGATTTTTTAAGTTTCAGTGCAGTGATTGTACGTTGGCTGGCTGTCAGTTAACTTCCTCATGTTTGTAACAGGCTAAATAACAATCTAGTTGAAAGTGTTTTGAGAAACATTTGAGTTGTGTTTGATTTGAACTTATAAATTGCTCTTCTGTAATGTCATGGTTTGTTTTCATAAAAATACAAATGAATTTTTAAATATACAGAAAAGAAATATGTGTAAAATATGTGAATGTTGATAATTTCTAATGAATAGTTTAAATTGCTCCCCCCCCTTTTTTACACAATACCTTTATTTTATTTATTTGTTTATGTGGTGCTGAGATTCGAACCCAGGGCCTCACACATGCAAGGCAAACACGCTACTAACTGAGCTACGACCCCAGCCCCTAAACTGGCCCTTTTATTGAAGAAAAATTCTTTAAGTTTTCTAAGCTTTTGTGAGATGGTATGTAAAGTAGTAGAAGGCCATCTAGTCGTTGCTTAATTTATTTTCTTGTTTTGCATTTCATGGTAAATGAGGTATTCTTTCTTACCATTTTGATGAAAATAACAAAAAAAACCCAAACTTGTTCTTTGGTTTTAGGTTCTTCTTGGAGAGATTTACACAGGTACCAGTGTGGCAAGAGTAATAGTGAAGGAGCTAAAAGCAAGTGCAAGCCCAAAGGAACAAGATGTTTTTTTGAAAAATGGAGAACCTTACTAGTAAGTAAGGCTTAACATTTGTTCTGTAAACAGTCTGTGGTCTTTTGAAAATCAAGTGTTTAGCCAGGCACAGTGGCACACTCCTGTAATCCCAGGTACTCAGGGGGCTGGAGCATGAGCATCGCGAGTTGAAGACCAGCCTCAGCAACTTAGTGAGACGATGTCTCAAAACATAATAAAAAGGTCTGGGGGTGTAGCCCAGTGGTAGTGTGCCCTGGGTTCAATCCCCAGTACCCCCTGCGCTCTACCCCAGCCCACACAAAATCAAGTGTTCAAAACTGCTTTGAGGTTTCTGCATGCATGCATGTTTAAATAAGACTCTAAGACATCAGAGTCTCACAAAACCTCAGTTGTCTACATTTCAGTTGAAAATCATTTATTCATTTAAGAACCAAGGAAACTCAACTTGAATAAGAGAAGGCAGAGACACCAACACTGAGGTGATAGAGTGGCAAGAATTATCTGGCAAGGACTTTAAAGCAATCATTACAATCATTATAGAAACGCTTCAGGGAACAAAAAAGTCAGAGACTCAGCAAAGAAATGAAGACATAAAGGAGACCTCAGTGGAAATTATAGAACTGAAAAATATAGCTGAAATTTAAAACTCAGTGAATGATCTCAGCAGCAGAATAGGGAGGACAGAGGAAAGAATCAGTGAAGCTGAAGATAATAAGCTTTGCCCAATTTGGACAACAGAAAGAAAATAGACTTAAAAAAAAAATCAAGCCTCAGGGACACAGAGAACTATAACAACAACAACACCAAAAAAAATTAACATTCATGTCATAGATGTCCCAGAATGAAAAGAGATGGGGCTGAAAAGGTATTCAAAGAAATAATAGCTCAGAATTCCCCAGATTTGGAAAAGACAAAATCTATAGATTCAAGAGCAAGTCCCAAACAGGATAAACACAAACTTTTTAAAAACTAAAGACAGAAGCTCTTGAAAGTAGGAGAGAGAAGTTGCACTTTACTGAGAGAGGAAAAGCAGTTTGAATGACACGGACCTCCTTGGAAATCCTGGAGGGCAGAAGGAAACAGGGTGGCATTTTTCAAGTACTGAAAGAAAGAACTGTGAAATTATATGTCCAGAGAAAATATGTGTTAGAAATGAAGAGAATATCAGCCCATTGTCAAACAAAGGAAAGCTAAAAGAGATTATTAGCAACAAACTTACCCTAAAAGAAAGCAAAAGAAATTTTTCTCAACAGAAAAGAAATAATTAAAAAAGAACTCTCAAAACACAAGGAAGAAGGAACAACAGAATGATAAAATTATAGCCGAACTTCCTCAACTTGATAAAGAGTCCTATAAAAATTGCTACATCTGGCATCATGATTAATGGTAAAAGACTGAAAGCTTTTTACTCCCTTGTTCAGGACCACACGTGGATATTTGCTCTTACTGCTGTTATTCATCATAGTACTAGAAACTGTAACTAACTCAGGAGAGCTGGAAAAGGAAATAAAGGCATATGGATCAGAAAGGAAAAACAAAACTGTCATTATTTGTAGATGACATGAGTTATGTAGAAAATCCCAAGGAATCTACACAACAAAGCTCTCCCAGAACTAAGTTGCAGGATATAAGATCAACATAAAAAAATCATTTGGGGACTCGGATGTAGGTCAGTGAGAGAGTTCTTGTCTAGCATGCTTCAGGCTCTGAGTTTAATCCTATGCACTGTTAAAACAGCTTTAAAAGTCAATTTTGTTTCTATAAACTAGCAATGAACATGGGAAAACCAAAATCGGGTGTGGTGGTACACGCTTGTAATCCCAGCGACTTGTGAGGATCCCAAGTTGAGGGCCAGCTTCAACAATTTAGCAAGACCCTGACTTAAAATGAAAATAAAAAAAGGGTTGGGGATGTAGCTCATTGGTAAAGTGCCCCTGTGTTCAATCCCTATTACCAATAATAATAATAATATCAAAAATAACATTCACACTTGCACAAAAATAAATGCCTGGGTACATGTGTAGGACTTCTGTGTTGAAAACTACAAAGAGCTGATGAAAGAATTCAAAGATCTAAATAAACGGAGAAACAGACCACGTTAATGGATTGGAAGACTCAATGTAGTGAAGTTCTTCACAAACTGATATATAAGTTATTGCATTTTCTATCAAAATCCCAGTAAGATTTTTAAAACACATATTTATTATAAGGTTAACTATAAGGTTATTATATGCTCACTTCAGCAGCATATATACTAAAAATTGAAATGATTCAGAGAAGAGTATCATGGCCCCAGGTACAAGGATGACAGGAGCGGGACGCAGTGGTGCACGCCTGTAATCCCAGTGGCTCGGGAGGCTGAGACAGGAAGATCTCGAGTTCAAAGCCAGCCTCAGCAAAAGCGAGGCGCTAAGCAACTCAGTGAGACCCTGTCTCTAAATAAAATACAAAATAGGGATGGGGGTGTGATGTGGCTCAGTGGTCGAGTGCTCCTGAGTTCAATCCGGGGTACCAAAAAATAAATAAATAAAACAAAATTCAATAGGAAACAAAAAGTAACAACAATCCAATTAGAATAATATCAAAAGACTTTGAGAGACATTTTACCAAAGAGGTAATGTGGATAGCAAGTTACCACATGAAGACATTCAGCATCACTGGCTACTAAAGTAATTAATATCACAATGAGATATCACTTTAGAAAAGCTGAAGTGAAAATGTAGTGACAATACCAAATGCTGGGAAGATGTGGGACACTAGACTTCATACATTGCTGGGGTGTGTATACGGTTGTCCTCAGCATCTGAGGAGATCAGTTCCAGTGCCCCCACCCCCATGGGTACCAAATTCTGAGGATGCTCATGTCCTTTACCTAAAATGAAGAGTGTTTGAATATACTGTATGCATATCCTCCTGTATATTTTGAATCATCTGTAGATGACATAATATCCAATGCTGTTCACAATTGTGGTACTGTCTTGTTTAGTATTAATGGCAATAAAAAAAGACTGTAATCTTCAATACAGATGCAGTTTTTTCCTCCAGATAATTTTAACCCTTGGCTGTGTGTGTGAAAGCATAGCCTGTGGATATGGGGGAATGTTATATACATGGAGAGGTTGATTTTTAGGAATTGATTCATGCATTTGTGAATCTGCAGTGTGGCCAGCAGATTGGAGACCCAGGAAGAGCTGATATTAGGGTTCAAGTCTCAAAGCTGTGTGCTGGCAGAATTCCTTCTTCCATGGGAGAGGGTATTCTTTTTTCTACAAGGGTTTCAGCTAAATGGCTGAGGCCCACTCACATTATGGAGGGACGTGCTTTACTGAGAGTCCTCTGATTTAAATGATAATCTCATCCAAAAACACCTTCTCAGAAACTGTCCTGAATAATGTTTGACCAAATTATCTAGGCACTATGGCCCGGCCAAACTGACACATAAAATTAACGATCACCTTGTATAACCCAGAAGTTATACACATGGGCATTTATTCCAGAGAAATGAAAACTTAATGTCTGCCCAACAACCCTTCTGTGAGAGTTCAAAGCACCTTTATTTGTATTAGCAAAAAATTGGAAAATTGACAATATCCTTCAGTAGATGAATGGGTAAACAAACGGTGGTATATCCATACAGTGTAATACTGCTCAGCCATTGAAAGGAATGAACTGCTGATGTGTGCTGCAGCTTGGATGATCCCAAGGGGATTATGTTGAGTGAGAAAATCAGTCTCAAAAGGCCACATACTGTATGATTCCATTTACATAATACAGGCTGAACATCCCTAATCAGAAATCCAAAATGTTCCAAAATCTGAAACTTGCAGAGTACCAACCAAGTATGATGCTGCCGATGGAAAATTCCACACCTAACCATATGACAGTGGCAGGGTGTGTGTGGTGAGTGTGGAACCGTAAATGAAGCTTTGTTGAAACTTAAGTCTCACTGTGTACATGCAGATATTCCAAACTTCAAAGAAATGTGAAACATCTCTGGTCCCAGTTATTTTGGATAAAGGAGGCTCAACCTATATTTCTATAATGAGAACATTATAGAAATGGAAGACAGATAAATGGTTGCTAGGGGACAAAATGAATGTGTAGTGCAGATCTTTGTGCCGATGGACTAGTTCTGCATCTCTTTTGAGGTGGTGGTCACAAGAATGTGCACATGTGACCTGGCGTGGAGCTATGTGCACATGATGCTTCATCACAAGGCAGTTTCCTGGTTTTGCTGTTGTGCTGTAGGTATTGTGTCAGATGTCCCAGTGCAAGAGACTGGGTGAGGGGCACCAGACCTCTTATACTGACTTTGCAGTTTCCTATAAACTCATAATCATTTCAGAATGAGTATTTTTAAAAAATTATTTTGACCTGTCATTTATTTAACTTTATTTTTCTTTTGGAAAAATTATTTCCCCAAAAGAGTTTGTATATACTGTGAAAATTTATAGAAATGGTGTATAAACTAGATGGCCAAAGGAGAGACTTGAGTTATTTAATATTCAGATAGAAATGCTTTTTGAATTTGTGTATTTGTCTGCCTTTTTTTTAAATGCTGCCTCAGAATATTGTCTCCGAACTTAAATTACTGAAGAAAAATGTATGTTAGGAGTTCTTTTTTTAATTTGAGAAAATACTTGATTGGGTTTGGATTATTTAATCATTAGGTAATAATCTGCATCTGTTACATATAAGGGATCTTTTTACTTTGTCATGCTGTATTTAAATCATCATAAATGTGAAAAATTGAATTACTAGTACTATTTATTAGTTTTTGAAGCATACTTCCTGATGAACAATACCATGACTTTTATTTTTACTAGTATTCTTCAACATCCAAATATTCTTCAGTGTGTTGGACAATGTGTAGAAGCCATTCCCTATCTTCTGGTGTTTGAATTCTGCGACTTGGTAAGTTTTTAGTAGAGATTCCAGTTGAAGGTTTGAATGGTTATATCCACATGGGTTTGTTTTCCTTCCTTCCCTCCTTCCCTTTCTTTCTTTTGTGGTTCTGGGGATGGAACCAGGGGTGCTTTTCTACTGAACTCTATCCCCAGCCCATTTGGTTTTGAATCAGGATCTTGCCAAGTTGCTGAGGCTGGCTTTGAACTTACTATCCTTCTACCTAGTCTCCAGAGTCCCTGTGATTATAGGTATGTACCACCATACCTGGCAGTCAGGTGTTTTTGACAGATATAAAATGGGGGGTTTGGGGCTGCTTTCATGTCTGTTCTAAATTTGAAGAACTTTGTGATGTATTGACTCATTACCTTTGATATTAACTTACACCTAGGTGAGTGTTTCATTGTACTCCAAACACTGTGCTGTTTACTTATAGTATCATATTCAGTAAAGACCCTTGTGTTAGATATGAATATTTGTCCAATCTTTACTTATGATTAAAATAAAGCTCAAGGAGTTTAAGAAAAATGTTGTGTATCAAGTATTTGGCTGAGTCAGAGCTTAAGATCTTCACTTCAACGAGACATTTGTAAAATTTGAATTTTCTACATAGGAAACCCAAGAATATTCCTTACCAATAAAACATCTATGATCTGTGTCAGTTGTTGAGAATAGTGAAGGTATATAACATCAGCAGTTTTACAAATTTAGATAAAGCTAGGTGCGGTGGCCCACACCTGTAATCCCAGCGGCTCAGGAGGCTGAGACAGGAGGATTGAGAGTTCAGAGCCAGCCTCAGCAACAGTGAGGTGCTAAGCAACTCAATGAGACCCTGTCTCTAAATAAAAAACAAAAATAGAGCTGAGGATGTGGCTCAGTGGTTGAGAGCCCCTGGATTCACTCCCCCCCCAAAAAAAATTACATAAATATATTTTTTTATCTTTTAGCATAGTATTACTCATGGGGATTGATTGGTGTTTTGTACATTTTGTGAATAATTTTAATAGCAATTTCTACATGAAAGTTTCCTATAAACAGCTCTTCCCTTGTGCAGGATATTTCATCTTCTCTCAAATCTATTTTTAACACATAATTGTTATTTTCCAAAAACTGTGGAAGATGTTAATTGAATTTTCTAGGTTTTAATTGATTTTTTTTGTATCATCTCAGTTTTCAGAACATTTAAGCTTCTTGCCTGTGCTCAGAAACTTGGGAGTCCCCAAAATAAATCTCCAATTAATTCAGATAGCATTTCCAGCAGTTACAGTAGAAAGAGTGCAATAAACATGGTAAATTTTTTCTTTAATTCCTGCATGCGATTTGCATATCTCTCTCATTGGCAAAGATGGTTAATTCCAAAGGAAAATCAATTAGTAAGCTTGATGTATGAGCTTCTTTTTGGATTCTGCCTGTGACCCTGAGTCCCCACACCTGCGCTCACAGCAGTAAAGTAGCTTTCGCTCAGCTTCCGAGTTGGCTCTGTGTCAGCTGCGCTCTGTTCCAGACCACGTCCATTTTCATTCTGGGGTCAGTGATTTTTGTTTCTATGTGCTGGTGTGTGCACCTGTGCACACTCACAAACATGTATTGTGGTATATTTTCATGTAGTGTTGTTGATGGAGCTTTGGATTCAAATTTGTGAGGTTCAAATCTCCTACACCCTTTTAATTTTTTTTTTTTTTTGAGGGGGTAAAGGGGTTTGAGTCAATTTTCTGTCAGTTACTAAGAGAGTCATAAAAATCTTCCCCCTCAACGATGAATTTTCATTGTTCTGTTTATACATTTTGATTCTTTGTTGTGTAAGGGAAACAAATTTATGATGATTTTATATGATTTGAAGTTTTTAATCATTGTGGTGGGGTTCTCTTTAAGGTTAAAAGCATTACTAACAACACAGCCTGTTGTTAATCTAGTTATGCCAACATTCTGATGGGCAGAGTTGACCTGTTTGGTTAGGTTCTTTATTAATCTTTTTTTGGGGGAGGGGCTAGTTTACTTCTGTCATAAATAGCTTTTTGTTAAAATTTTTATTAATCTTGCAATCTTGGTCACTTGAAATGGAACATGTAGTCTGTTTACATTTATTATAGTTAATGAGATATTTGGAAAATTCTCTGCCTATTTCTATTATTTTTCCTTCCTCCTACCGAGTTTTCTTTTTTTGCCTTCTTTTGGATGCTTGATTTTTCTTGTTTCAGTTTTCCCCATCTACCAGTTTGAATTTTAGAAATTTTCTTGATTTTATGTGTGGCTACACTAGAACTTGTAACATGAATACTGAACTTTGCAAAGTCTAGAATTAATCAATATTTTAACTCTGCTCCAAAGAAAGCAGAACCTTGTAGAGGTTTCCTCCCTGTGAGGAAAACTGGAATTAAACCTACTTCTTTGGGGGCTGGGGAATGTAGCGTAAGCCGTAGCGCACTTGCCTGGCATGCTCGGGGCGCTGGGTTCGATCCTCAGCACCACATAAAAATAAAGATGTTGTGTCCACTGAAAACTAAAAATAAATACTAAAAATTTCTCTCTCTCTCTCTCTCAAAACAAACAAACAAACAAACAAAAAAGCAAACCTACTTCTTTGGGTCATCCCGTGGTGGAAGGTGTTTAGATACTAAATACTTAATAGTGGGGCAGTACCAGACAGACTTCTCCAAGATGCGGAGGCAAAACACATTGTCTTCTATGTCTCATGTAGGTGGGACAGACATTGTATGGTATTAAATGGTACGTAAAGACGAAGAGGAAGGAGCTATAAGTGGTGTTCTGTGTTAATTGACTCAGTGTGATCAGAGCTGTGATATTTGTGTTCCTAGGTTATTGTGGTATGAAAATAGTTTCTTTTTCACTTAGCTCTGGGTGACCAACATATAGACAATCCCAGTGCGACACAGCACTGAGTAAAAAGATACACCACCAAGGCACACCAGTGTGTGAAGGAGAGGTCTGCTTGTCAGAAGTCCACATTTCTGTTGAACATGCCACCTTCAGTCCTTAAGCTCCTAATGTTGATTATAAGTGACAGTTGAAACACTCTTTGTGACTGAACATAACAGAAATATGTAGGGATCAGCACCTTTTTGAAGTATCACCTTTGTCTAGACTAAATGAGGGTTTATAAAACTCAGATATTTTATTTTGGCACTGAGTATTGAACCCAGAAGCACTCTACATCTGAGCTACATCCCCAGCCCTTTTTATTTTTTATTTATTTTATTTTAGTTTTTGGTATTTTTAGTACAGGGGATTGAACCCAGAGGTGCTTAACCCTGAGCAACACAGCCTAGTTTTGTTGTTGTTGTTTTGAGAGTGGGTCTCATTGAGTTCCCTAGGGTGTGGCTAAATTACTAAAGCTGGCTTTGAACTTGAGATCCTCCTGCCTCAGCCTCCCAAATCACTGGGATTATAGGCATATGCTACCATGCCTGACCTTTTTTTTTTTTTTAAACTTTGAAATAGGATCTTGCTAAATTGCTAAGTCTGGCTTTGAACTCCTGCCTCAATCTCCTTGGTCTCCTGAGATTACAGGCCTGCACCACTGTGCCTGGTCCCTTCCTGAAAGTTTTTGTAGACAATATGATTGAATTTTTTCCTAGAATGATAAAACACAGCTTAATGTTTTCCCCTGAATGAGTTCAGGAGTTGGATTTCATTTTAGTGCTGTTTTAATTTAGTTTTTATTGAAGCTGCTTCTTATTTTGGAAAGTAGTAATTTAACTTGCTTTATAAAGAAACACTTAAGGGCTAGGGTTATAGCTTAGCAGTAGAGCCCTGGCCTGGCACGTACAAGGCGCTGGGTTCAATCCTCAGCACCACATAAAAATAAATAAATAAACGTACCATATCCAACTACAACTAAAAAAAAAAACAAAGAAACGAAACACTTAAAACATAGCCAAATACACACCTCCTTTACTATTACCATAAATGATCCAGTACTGACAAAATTCTAGAATGTTCTTTGTATCTTTGTCACTGTGTAGACATTGTTTTTAGGAAAACATAATAAATATATATTTTCTTCGTTAACAATCTTGTAAAATTCCCCCAGTACTTAAGAGATCTCAGATTTAAATATGTACATATTATCCAGGTACTTGTAACTAAGTGTTCAATGCATATTAACTAGCTTAGAATTATTCAACTTACATACTTTGGGGGTGAAGTTTATATATACAACCCTCCAGAATAACAGGTGAAATTTCTGAAAACTTATTTTACATGACTCACCTAAGTCACATAGGGTTCACTCCTGAAGGCTGACCAACAATAAAATTTTTAAAAACAGTCATTGTTCCTCTAAAAGCAGAATTTCTATACGATCCAGCATTTCCACTTTTGGGGATAGTCCCAAAGAAGTGAAAGTGGAATGGATACTTGCACATTCATGTTCATGGCAGGATTATTCATAGTGGCCGGAGATGGAAGCAATCCAGGTGTCCATTCATGGAGGAGTGGGTATCCACAGACAGTGGAGTATTATTTAGCCTTAAAAAGGAAGGAAATTCTGATACATGCTACAGCATGGATGCTAAGTGAAATAAGCCAGATGCAGAAGACAAGTTCTATGTGATTCCTCTTACAGGAAGGACCAAGAACAGTCAAATTCATAGAGACATAAGGTAGAAGGAGGGATGGTTGCCAAGTGCTGGGGGAAAGGAGGAGAATAGTTGTTTAATGGATGCAGAGTTTCAGAGTTGCAAGATTAAAAAGTACTGTACGTGGACAGTGGCGATATCACACGAGAGTGTGAACGTACCTAACATTACAGAACGTACACTTAGACATGGCTAAGTTGGTAGATTTTTATGTTAAGCATTTATTATCACATATTTTAAGAAAACCTACCAATTAAGGTGCTATCAGGTGTTATCGGTACTGTGAGGAGGCTTGTATGCCCTTGGGAATATCTGGTCATTGCTTGGCATGGCAGTCCCATACCAGGGTAAAAGCTGTTAACCTCAGGTCCCTCCAGCTTGCCTAGTAGTGAGAAGTCACTTTTCTCTCTA